ATATATATATATATATATATCAGTCTGGCGAGTAAACAAAAAAATTTACTAGCCAATGGCGATTCAATTGCCAAGGTGTTCGTAGAGGGCTGTTGTCAGATACTGGTCTCTAGGTTTCTTTTTCATCTCCTTTATATTCAACATCGAACAAGTTCTGATTGGCTACTATTATTGTTGCTTTGCGGTAACATTCTAGTTTTAGAGAGGACAGAGAAATTACTTTTTCTAGAAATTTGTTGCATCGAGCATGGGGAGGCAGGGCTCTATGCTTATTTTTCTTTTTAGGAGCGCTTGTGCTCCTAACTTAAAAAATGTAGGAGCACAGTCAAAAATTTAGGAGCACCAAAATTTAATTAAAAAAAAAAATGGAGAATGGAGATGCGCAGCGGCTGAGCTGTGACTTTGTTTCAAACTATTTCCGACGACGAAATAGAGCAAAATCAGACCTTATAGTCAGACAATGTAAGTCACTTAATATTAAATTCTTGTCTATTTAACTGTTGTATTAAATCAGTATCACATTTACAAACTCCCTTAAAAATCATTAAAAGCTGTCACTCATCTTAGCTCATCGCGATCTCACATTTATAATCAACGAAGCTCTCTACACTGCGCAATGAATCTCTTATTTACACCCTGTCTACACTTTGCTTATGAAAGGATTCATGAGATACGTCTGTGATACATTACTCAACAATAACAAGTATGATGATGATCTGGTCATTCGCACTGGTGCTCCTAAATATGTTTTCATAGTCGCACGCAGTAGTTTTGGTCGCACTGTAGAGCCCTGGGAGGACACAGTAAGAAAGTGTCAGGAGTGAATGATGAAGCCAAATCACAAAGTACAAGTTTCCCCTTTAGTTCTTTTTCCGTTCTTGTGCTCTCTCTCACACACACACACTCTCTTTGCTTCACTCTTTCCCATGACTCATGCTGTGGGTTTACAGGCCATCATAAGACCAGGTTGCCATAGCGACCACATCACTGAGAGTTTAGGAGTGTGTGGAGTGTGCAGTTGATGTAACATTACTGTGTGTGTGTGTGTGTGAGAACAAATTCCACCTCCATGGCTGCACAACTGATGTGCTTCTCGCAAATGCTGTATCACCTATAACTGCATCCTGGCACCCCAGTTAACATCTTTACAACACACACACGCACAGGCCTCCACAAAAAAACACCTACATGCTCTCAGGGAAGAGGAGTGTGTGTGTGGGTGGTCAGAGCCCTGTGCTGTGGGGCTAAAGCAACATAGTGACCATTAGAGATGGACGTAACAGGAACAAATGTACAGATGCTTCTCAGAACTCTACACTGTGTATTTTCCCTGCCATGATCAGAATCATAGTTGTCATTTTTCTTGGGCTTTAGAAAATTGCTGGTTTTCAAAACCTAATGGCTGTCTATCTAGACAGCATTGTGGGGCATCATGAGAACATTTGAGTCAAATGTATAATGCTTGACATGTAGGTAGGACACTGAAGATGAGCGTTCCAACACTTCTGTTATGGCTAAAAATGCTGACAAGACACTTGTTTTCCAGTACAAATATCTAAACATCCTTAAATGAAGATATGCTTACAAAAACTGAACAAAGTGATTTGAGTTTGCTTAATACAAGAACAAATATCTGTCAGTGAGGTATGAAAATGTTCTAAGAAACAGCTGCTTTGAATTAAAACTAAAACCAACATATAAAATATTCTGCTACATGCTTTTATGAATTAAAGGTCCCATATTGTCAAAACTGAAATTTCCTGACTTTTTTCACGATTACTGAGGTCTAGGGGCTATTTAACTACCATATAAGTTTCAAAACAGTCAGTCCACAGTAAAATTCACACAGCCTGCTTAAAGTTCTAGCTATTTTTCACGAACTGTTGTGACTTCCGTGAAAAGTTGACGTCAGAACTGCACAGTCACTGCCTTCAGTCACCACACCGAGCACCGCCCACCGTTCCACTCTCCTTTTGCCAAACCCCCAGACAACATCACGTCCATGCTTTTGCTGAGCAAGGACAACACGGAAACATGTCGAAAAGGTTAACTTTAACCACGAAACCAGATCGGACGACCTGTAACGTTACACTCTCACTCAAAGGATGGATGATCTGACAGGCCCAACATCACAACAAGATGATATTTTAAGCTCCTTATGTAGCCATCTGGAGGAAGTCGTGGCCTAATTGTTAGAGAGTCGGACTCGTAACCCAAAGGTTGTGGGTTCGAGTCTCGTACCGACAGGGATTGTAGGTGGGGGGAGTGAATGTACAGCGCTCTCTCCCACCTTCAATACCACGACTGAGGTGCCCTTGAGCAAGGCACCGAACCCCCAACTGCTCCCCGGGCGCCGCAGCGTAAATGGCTGCCCACTGCTCCTGGTGTGTGTTCATTGTGTGTGTGTGTTCACTGCTGTGTGTGTGCACTTTGGATGGGATAAATGCAGAGCACTAATTCCGAGTATGGGTCACCATACTTGGCCACACGTCACGTCACGTCACGTTTTTTTTTTAGCCGAATCTGCGCTGGTTTGAATGGGCCGCCTCCAGTTTCCCCTTTGTTTTGCTGCCTCCAGCTAGCGCTGTGACGTCGCTGACCCTAGTTACCTGTGGTTGGCCTGGCCATGCGTCATTCAGAAAACAACAGGCCAATCAGAAGAGATGCTCATGAATATTAATTAGACAGACCAAAATCGACCTGTTTTCAGCAGAGCTCCTGAGAAAGGAGCTGTAAAAATATATTGAGATGGTTTTTGGTGCCTATACCGCAAATATATATTCTTAAGGACATCAAAACCTAAAATAAAACTCCAGAAAGGTGTACAATATGGGACCTTTAAGGCATCGCCCAGAAATGAAGATTCCCTACAGGGAAAATGTATCTGTATTACATGAAGATGAGTGAAGCTATTTCACTGTCCTGATTAATTCAGTTGTTTGTAGGAACTTGTTTAAAAATATAGATGACCTTATAGAAATTAAACAATTCTTTCTTTGAAATAACAGTTATGTTATGACAACTTTAGTCATTTTAATTCATTTTCCTATTTAAATGAAGTCTCTGAGTGTCAGAGCAGCTTCAGACAATCACTGTATGCATGTCTTCAGCTGTAAGATCTCTGTCTTTTGTGTTATTGGAGAACAGAGCTTGTGAAAATCAGGCTGTGAATCTGGAGAAGAAGCTGCATGCCAACCATCCTGTGGGATGGTGCATTATGAGATTTGGAGTAAATAAACTCCTTTGTTTTGTCAGTTCACACATACACTGAACAAAATTATAAACGCAACACTTTTGTTTTTGCCCCCATTTTTCATGAGCTGAACTCAAACATCTAAGACTTTTTCTATGTACACAAAAGGCCTGTTTCTCTCAAATATTGTTCACAAATCTGTCTAAATCTGTATTAGTGAGCACTTCTCCTTTGCCGAGATAATCCATCCACCTCACAGATGTGGCATATCAAGATGCTGATTAGACAGCATGATTATTGCACAGGTGTGCCTTAGGCTGGCCACAATAAAAGGCCATAGACCTTGAATAGACCTTGAAATTAAAAGGAAATTCCCCTATTTTCTAAATGCATTTTATTGATCTTATTGTGAATGATTCATACATGAATGCTTCATTTTTATTTATTTGCTTATTTTTTTTCTCAACACCTTGTAATTTTTAATGACAATGTCATAACTCGATCTTCCAACTGACCTCTCTCTGGTGACATATGCCGGATGTCAAGTTAAACTCCATTAAAGGTGCAATAGGTGATTGTCTTCAGAAAAATTTTTTGTTATGCTGGTTGGAAGTCTCTTCACATCCCGATAGCAATCATTAAGTTAAGTGGTCTAAATGTATTTATCTGTATTTATATATTCTGTGGAAGGCGTAGGACCAAGAAATGTTTGTCCAATCAAAACGCTCGGTCCTTCCTGCCTGTCAACTTATGTATTAGCATACCTCTGTGCACCCGGTTCGCGCAGACAGGATACGTCATCAGCGTATTCACGCACGCTGTGCAGACAGAGCGAGAATGACAGACAAACATCAACAACCCGATCTTCCTTCCTAGTATTGTAGTACTTTTAAAGTTTTCTCACCAGTGAATGACACATGATGTAGCCCAGCGGTTCCCAATTCCAGTCCTCGCGCCCACCTGCATATTTTGCATGTCTTGCTTAGTTAACACACCCGATTCAGATAACCAGCTCATTAGAAGTGAGCTACGTGCATGAACTGTGTTCCGATCGATATGATCCCTACACAGTATTCATTGCTCCCTACTCCCTGAGCAGGGGAAATCCGTTGAAGTTTACTTCACTTCGGAACATAGGCTGGAATTGGGAACTGCTGATGTAGCCTTGTAGTAATGTTGTCTCTGGTATTCTGGTCTGTGAGCGTATATGCGTTCAGGGGGCTTGGCTTTGGACGGCGATTGTAGGGAGGGTGGGACGTTCGATTTCAGTGCTATCAGGCTAAAGTTAGCATTTTCCAAGATCTCCTACTGCACCTTTAAGCTTCTGAAGTGTCATACTTATTTGTTATATCTGCTGTTTTCATGTGTTCATCTCAGGTAGTCCGATGGCCAAGCAGAGCAGCACAGCCCATGGTGCTCGATCACCTGCTCCTAAAGTTCACACCAGCAGCTTCCTGTCCTCTGGGGTCAAGGTGAGATTGACTCTCTCGGTGAATGGATTTATTCAATGCAACTCACATTTGATTGCAGTTTGGGGTCTTGGTGCTCTAGTCTAGCTGTGTGTTCAGGACTTGTGCAGAATAATTTACCTTCTGGTAAATGTGCTTTGCCTGCTTTTAGCAGTCTTTTTGATTTATTACCATGCATTAAAGTGGTGAGCATCTCTCTCTCGGTCCTACAAGGCAACTGAAGTGAAGGGTGGGTGGATGAGAATACAATATCAGTAGAAATTATGTGGGTATTTTGAGTGAAATCACCTGTAATTGAAAAATACAGATGTAGGCTGTTGAAAACAATGTGGCACAATCAATTCCTCTTCAGGCAGATTAGCATGATGAATCAGTACCTTTGTATTCAGAGAGAGCTGTAATGGAGCTTGTAAGAGGAAGGCACCCCAAAATAGGGATTCATTTCTCTGTCATTGTTCTATAGAGCTGTTAATATGAGTTCTGCTGTTCTTTACATTTATTTACAAAGTGAAAAGATAATGTTTGTAATAATCATTCATACCAACCAAAGCAGTAATAAGGTTGTCTGTCCCTCTGTTGAACTGAAGAAAAACTGACTCAAATTAGGTGATGATCTCTCTCTGTCTCTCTCTCTCTATCTGGGTTATTCTCTGAGGGTGTTTCAATGTTTTCTGGACACTGCGGGCTAAATTAACACCAGTAGTTATTAATAGTTACTGCCAGGCGGTGCAGTAAGAGGTCTGCAGCAGCTGTGTGTGTGTGTGTGTGTGTGTGTGTGTGTGTGTGTAGGTTTAAAATGGGACATCTATCTGTGGCGTGATGCTGCTGCTTTTGCGCAAGCTGTGCAGAGGACTGAAGTATTCCCAGAGCGCACAAACACACACACACTCTCATAAGTAGACATGCTGTGGGAATGGTTCACAGATGTTTCTTCAGAATAGTCAAAAATAATTTGAGCTTGTGTTTGGGGTCGGTCAGTAAGATTGTTTTATGTTTTTGATAAAAGTCTCTTTTGCTCTCCAAGCCTGCATTTATTTGCTCAAAAATACATTGATATTGTGAAATATTATTACAAATTAATTTATTCCTGTGATGGCAAAACTGAATTTTCAGCAGCCATTACTCCAGTCTTCAGTGTCACATGATCCTTCAGAGATCTAAATTTGAAGCTCAAGAAACATTCCTTAATATTATGAATGTTGAAAAAAATTGTGCTTTTTTGTAGACCATGATACTGTTTTTTTCCCAGGATTCTTTGATGAATAGAATTGTCAAAAGAACATAATTTATTTAAAATAGAAATCTTCTATAGAAAAACTTTATAAATGTCTTTACTGTCACTTTTGTTCAATTGAATGCTTCCTTGCTGAATAAAAGAAAATTAATTTCTTTTTTGGATGGTACTGTACATGATCTTAAAAACTTTTGTCTGAATGCTTAAATGTTTAATACAATGTTGTTTAAAAAATGAACAGTGTAGCTGTTATTGAAGACAGAGGGTGGAGACCTTCAAAAAGTGATTTAAATAAGATAAGAAATAAATGTTTTTTTTTTGTTTTTTTTTACATTTTAGAGCACTATATAATTCTCATTTGTTTAATTTCATAGTTTGATGACTTAGTCTAAAATGTTAATAATAATAAAGAATGAGTCAAACTTCAAAGCTTTTTTTGCACTGTAGTTTCTAAAGAAAACATTTAATTTTAAATTCAGGGTTACAGCGTTTGAGTGTGAGTGTTTTTACTGTTGTTTGTTTATATGAGAGATATGACAGTGATGTTGAGATTATGTGTGTTTTGTATGATGGAGTTTGCATTGGTTTACATTTTGCTGTGTGCTACTGGCAGGAGAGGTGAATCTCAACTCAAGTTCACTGAGTTCATCTCAATGTTCAGCCTCTCACTCAGAGAAGCATGTGTTTATCTTACCCAAGGGAATGTGTGATTCATTAAATTAACTTCGGATTGGATCACACACCCAATATCTCTGCAAAATATCTTGGTTGAAATTGAACCGTGAATCAAACTGATGGCTTTTCAGTGCACATCTCGCTTTAATATGACAAGCACAGAGTAATAAAAATTCCTCTCTCTGTCTGTCTGTCTTAAGGTTATAATCAAGCAAGAACCAGGAGAGGTGCCCACCCAGCCGTCACCACAGCAACAGGTCGTCTCCACAGCAGCTTCCCAGCAGCAACAACAGTATGTGACAGTGAAGGGAGGTCACATGATAGCCATGTCGCCGCAAAAACAGAGTGGGGCAGGGACTGGAGGTGCCACACCCAGCAAGGTTTTTATGAATACTCTTTTGTTTTGTTTTGTGTTTACCATTATGATAATGTTCAATTTGACTGTTTATATTTCATATTTGGTTGACTCTTTTATCTTAGACCGTTTTTAAACCAATTCCTATTGTTCCATTCTTTGCCTGTTTCAGTACCTAGTGAGCTGCTTACCTAAATATTTGGGCATCGTAGCTCAAAGATTGTTCAGATGCATCTATAATGTCCAAAAATAATGTCTAGCTAGTTCCATACTTCAGTTCCGTGTTTCTATAGTTTCATTCCTCAATGCAGGCTGTCCTGTCTGAGAGAGTTTTTGAAACTGGAGTGCGCTGTGGTCATGTGGTCTAAACATATCTCAGGTCATTGTGTCTCTGTGGACTTCCTACTCGTCTCTTTACTGCAGCCTTTTTTAGCACCTGAGAGTCAAAGTCACTTTTACATCCTGTTTAGAGACTGTCCAATAAAAAGTCTTAACTTTCAAACTCTACATTAGAGTCTTCAGCACACTTATTACTTATTTTTCATATTACTCCTTAGAACTCTTGGTTTTAAGTAAAGCCATTTTCTTTAGGATCTTTATAAATTCATTAGACATTTTTTTAAAGATGAAGTTTCTCGATCAGGCGCCAAGGTTTTCAGATCCTTAAGGTGTAACCACTAATCAACATTTCTGCAGCATTACTATTGAGATGTGAATGCCTTTCTCATATTGAAATAAGACTTAATAGATAACATATACTACTGTTTAAAAGTTTGGAGTCTGTAAGATTTTATTCTGCAAGGAACTAAATTGATCAAAAGTGACAGTAAAGACATTTATAATGTTACGAAAGATTTATATTTCAGATAAATGTTGTTCTTTCTATAATCAAAGATTCCTGAAAACATGTGTCAGGGTTTCCACAAAACATTAAGCAGCACAACTGTTTTTACATTGATAATAATAATAATAATAAATGTTTCTTGAGCAGCAAATCAGCATATTAGAATGATTTCTGAAGGATCATGTGACACTGAAAACTGGAGTAATGATGCTGAACATTCAACTTTTCATCACAGGAATACATTATATTTTAAAATATTTGAATATAGAAGACAGTTATTTTAATAATATTCCAGAATATTACTCTCTTCCTGTATTTTGATCAAATAAATACAGCCTTGATGAGCAAAAACCTCACCAACCCAAAACTTTTAAACAGTAGTGTACACACCTCTTTTGATTATACTAAAAATATGAGTAGAGGAAAAATTATGAGTAAATATTTTATATAAAAAGGGACACGAAAAGTGTTACATTTCTTGATTTATGATTATGAAGTATTTCCAGTTGCAGAGTAATTGCGTGTGCGTTTTTGTAGGTTTTGGGGATTTCACTGGGCTCTGCTGTCAAACAGGTCTCTATGAGCAGCGGGCAGATCTTGGTCGCTAAGTCCAGCCCCTCTGTGTCCAAGGTGGTGGGCCAAAAGCAAGTGGTAGCACAGGGTGTCGCTAAAGCAATCGTCAGTGGAGGAGGCAGCGGTGCAAGCGGCATCACGGGACAGCAGGTGCATGCTGTTACCAAGGCAGCAAGTGGGTCTGGAGGAAGTGGCAAGAGTGGAGGTCAGTGTACACACTTTTTCTTGACCCTCATCATGCCATAAAATGACCCAGATAATTCATGCGATCTCTACTCTGCTCTACTCTGTGTTTTCTTTAACCCTTGTATGGTGTTCTTATTTTTGTTTGTTTAGTCTGGTGGACCTGCTGCAGTTTTGGGTTTTTAATTCAACACAATCAAAAATTATATGTTAAAATACTCAATAGATGCTTACTTCATCCCAATTACAAACAATATAAACAGCATATATGGTCAAAATTTGCCCTTAACCTTTGTTAGATCACATTTATGAATTAAAGTGCTACAACCTTGTGCGGGAATGGCAGGGGCAGAAACACAAAACTCACACTTACACTCACACGCTTACAGACTCTCTTCTCTCTCTCACACACACACACACACACATAAATACACATACACATACTAATATCAGTCCCAGACAGTAGGAGGACAGAGTGAAGGTACACAGGACCTAAAATTTCCACTCTTTTATTATCCCCGGGCCCAGTGGACCTGAACAATCCTGTATGTAGTGTGTAGGGGGGGTGTACAGTAAGGTTGTGACGGTGAGGAAATTTTCCCACCGGTTAATCGACGTGTGACAAAACCGGTAATACCGGTATCACCGCGGGGCGTTCCTTCTTTTCCTCGCTTTCCTTCGCTTTTAAATAGCTTGTAAAAACGGCGTGCACATTTTATTTTCACTTTCAACTAGCGGCAATTCGGAGTAAAGCAATTGTTCGTTTGAATTTTCCCTCTTTTCCTCGCTTTCCTTCGCTTTTAAAT